AACAACAACAACAACAACAACAACAACAACAACAACAACAACAACAACAACAACAACAACAACAACAACAACAACAACAACAACAACAACAACAACAACAACAACAACAACAACAACAACAACAACAACAACAACAACAACAACAACAACAACAACAACAACAACAACAACAACAACAACAACAACAACAACAACAACAACAACAACAACAACAACAACAACAACAACAACAACAACAACAACAACAACAACAACAACAACAACAACAACAACAACAACAACAACAACAACAACAACAACAACAACAACAACAACAACAACAACAACAACAACAACAACAACAACAACAACAACAACAACAACAACAACAACAACAACAACAACAACAACAACAACAACAACAACAACAACAACAACAACAACAACAACAACAACAACAACAACAACAACAACAACAACAACAACAACAACAACAACAACAACAACAACAACAACAACAACAACAACAACAACAACAACAACAACAACAACAACAACAACAACAACAACAACAACAACAACAACAACAACAACAACAACAACAACAACAACAACAACAACAACAACAACAACAACAACAACAACAACAACAACAACAACAACAACAACAACAACAACAACAACAACAACAACAACAACAACAACAACAACAACAACAACAACAACAACAACAACAACAACAACAACAACAACAACAACAACAACAACAACAACAACAACAACAACAACAACAACAACAACAACAACAACAACAACAACAACAACAACAACAACAACAACAACAACAACAACAACAACAACAACAACAACAACAACAACAACAACAACAACAACAACAACAACAACAACAACAACAACAACAACAACAACAACAACAACAACAACAACAACAACAACAACAACAACAACAACAACAACAACAACAACAACAACAACAACAACAACAACAACAACAACAACAACAACAACAACAACAACAACAACAACAACAACAACAACAACAACAACAACAACAACAACAACAACAACAACAACAACAACAACAACAACAACAACAACAACAACAACAACAACAACAACAACAACAACAACAACAACAACAACAACAACAACAACAACAACAACAACAACAACAACAACAACAACAACAACAACAACAACAACAACAACAACAACAACAACAACAACAACAACAACAACAACAACAACAACAACAACAACAACAACAACAACAACAACAACAACAACAACAACAACAACAACAACAACAACAACAACAACAACAACAACAACAACAACAACAACAACAACAACAACAACAACAACAACAACAACAACAACAACAACAACAACAACAACAACAACAACAACAACAACAACAACAACAACAACAACAACAACAACAACAACAACAACAACAACAACAACAACAACAACAACAACAACAACAACAACAACAACAACAACAACAACAACAACAACAACAACAACAACAACAACAACAACAACAACAACAACAACAACAACAACAACAACAACAACAACAACAACAACAACAACAACAACAACAACAACAACAACAACAACAACAACAACAACAACAACAACAACAACAACAACAACAACAACAACAACAACAACAACAACAACAACAACAACAACAACAACAACAACAACAACAACAACAACAGCAACAACAACAACAACAACAACAACAACAACAACAACAACAACAACAACAACAACAACAACAACAACAGCAACAGCAACAGCAGCCGCAGTACCTGTTTCTTCTGTCTGAGTCTGTCTTTGTCTCTCTGCTCTCTCTCCAGCTCCTCTAAGTGCACCTGGTGTTCCTTCTCCAACACGGTCTCCGTGTCAGTCCCAATCTCCAAAGACTTGAACTTGGGCAACTCAGGCTAAAATTTAGATAGCTAGAATTTAAAAAAGTGAGAAAAAACTGCAATTAGTTCTCAATCAAGGTTATAACATCGGCTCTCCGCAAAGAATTAAACAGCCCGTACAGCTCGTCAACAAATCGTCCTAACTTAACGTAACTTAAAAAACAGAAAAGTTGCCTGAAATGCTTTTAGACCGTTGGCATGTTTTTTCTCAAGAATTTTCCTCCGACAGTCTTAACAAAATTAAGTTTTCGGTGTTTTAGAAGAACTCGGAGAATCAATTACGACGACAATGTAAAAAATCCAAAACTGAATTTTATGGTAATTTCGATTGAATGGCAGCAAATTTCCAAGCAATCTTAATCTTGTAAAGCAATTTTAGTCTCAAAAAAGAAGAAGGAAACTAATTTGATTTCAAAGACGACGAATCCAACCTATGACGATGATAGATGATAATCAAGATATAATAAATTTTAATCGTGAAATTGTTTTCAAGAAGGAAACAGTTTGTTTATTATTTACAAAATTTATTCCAGAAAATTTTTTGGAAGAACCCCAAAATGGTCATTTAGCTGCCTATTGAGTAGCATAACAATAATAATTTGCATCAACTGACCCGCTTGAACACGTCCAGAATGGGATCGGGCTCCGGAGGGGGAGGGTGAGGGGCAACTGAGCGTCTTCTGGATGACTTGCCTCTCTTCGTGAACTGCGGCATGTTCAGCAGATTGGGAAGCTGAAATAAGTGAGTCTGCAGCTATCTGCTTTCGAATATATTCAAGCAGCTAAAAATCTAGGAGCCCGGTTTTAACTTCATTCTACGGAGATTTAGCGAGCACAGGCTATGTAAGATCATCGTTGGAATTTTCAATTTCAAAATATTATAAACTACCCCCCCCCCTATCTATGGCTACCTAGTAACGAATCTATCCCCCCACCCCTATAATGAAATAATCTAACGGTTAGAGATTAAAGAGATCCCTTAATAATTGTGCTTACCTGATCGGAAATCTCCTCCTGCTCAGCTTCGTTTAGCTGTTGCTGTTGAACTGCACTTTTTCCATCCAGCAGTCTCATGAAAATGTTACTAGCCGTTGATGGGTCTTCATTTGAAGCTGCGCTCTCTCTTTCATAGCCACTATTGACATGCTTTTGCTGTCGTTTCTTCGAAATTGTTTCTTGTTGCATTTTCTTGTCCTGGATTTTTTCTGTAAATAAAAATCGAGCACTTTTTTCGTAATATTACATTATAGTTTTATACATAGTGCATGAAATCTAATTGTTGATTAATTGGACTAATCTAACTGTCAAAAACTTAAGCCATTCAGTTTGGTGTGTACTTTCAACAAAAACGGCAAATGAAAAAACAACAAATGAATCTACAAGGCTCAGCAAAATTTGAAATTTGAACGTTTTTTGTCTATAACAGAAATACAGCTGATGTTGAAGTGCAGTAACTGTTCGGCTAATCGATCACCGGTTAATTGTCCATCTAAGCTTAGTTTGACATGCACACAACTATCAAACCTTTGAGTCTGAGAAAGACTTTTTCGGGACTCTTGGCATACGTCTCTCTATGCCAAACTTGTAGCACGTCCCGCTGGGTATCCACTTTTTTGGCGGACTTGAGACCTTGACGACAATATCGTATATTTATAGCGAATGATATTGCAACGCCCTTGACGCATATTGAACTCGAAACAGAATGATACCGCAATTTCAAAGTTTCAAATCTCAATGATTCATAAATTGCAACCAGGACCAACACAAAAATAACCTGAAGAGCACCTTCCGTGCCAAAAGCACATATTTATAATCCAAAAGCACTCAAAAACGGCGTTTTCTTCTTCAATAAATTGCCAGGGTCATAGAAAAGTTTACCAAATATTGTCATTCTGGGTTTTCAAAGATGAAAATTTTTGTACACGCTACTGTATGCCTTAATGCTCGTGCATAATCAGTATCAAGGGCGGATCTAGGATTTTGTCGGATCTCTTTTTCTGAGTTTTCCCAAGTCACTATAAAGACCCTATTGTAGTCAAATTTTCTGTGCTGCGGGCAAATTTTTTCCAAAAATTGCGTTTTTTCAGCGCGCGCTCGCTCGCCGCTCAATATTAGCATATATTGGCGCCAAAGAGTAGGTTAATTGGACATCCATTTCAACGTAATAATGACAAGACTGCTCATATCAGGGCGAAGCCCTGAATGTTCCGACTGCCTTTTAAGGTTTATGGAGCAGTAATAACATTAAAAAATTAAATGAAATCAAACAAAATGAAAATTTTTTTTTTCTAAAATTTGAATTTTTAAAATAAAAATTATCCCCCCACACGCCATATAAAGTACAACAGGATAGATTTCGCTCCTTGTAACAAATCAATTATGGCAAATGAGCTTCTTTCAACCAATTTGGAACGATTTCTAAGACGGATTAACTCTCCGCTTACGCGTTAATAGCGCGAAATATATCGCGCGTTAATTGTCCCAAATTGGTCAAAATGGCAATCTTTAAACCCCCATTTTTGCAAATTTGAGCTCAGGACAACAATACCTTTCGAATGATATAAAAAAGTTCTGTCAATAATGGCTAGTTAAAAAGTCGAAATTTGTCTGAAGAAAAAAACCCACCCCGAGCACAAATATTCCGTTACTTTCGTATCGAAAGTCGGAACAATAATAATCTAATGAATTGTTTGCAAATTAGATTCCATTCATTGTAAAAAGTACTACATTTACAACCAAACGAAATCTCATTGCGAGAACGCCGTGGAACTATGCAACGTCGGTCGGCCAAAAGTGGATGTCCCAAAATAGTCTCAAAGACGGGACCATTTGGGTGGCCAGGAGGTCGAACTCCCCACGCCCCCTCCCCCTCCCCCCTACAAATCCGCCCCTTGTCAGTAGATATGTTGCCGCAATTTGAGAAAAGTAGGAAGTCTAAAATTAAAACATTTAGCAGCGTCGAGTACTTAGGAGGTGCGATGTTGAACGAAATATTTAGACCCCCGATTAGAAAAGACGCAAAGAAACTCGAGATGAGCAAGTGGGCGTAGGGGATGGATGTTGATGTGGGATACGCGGTGGAAGAGTATTCGGGGGGTTGTCATGAGACTCACGTTTCATCTCTTCGTCCACGGGGTTGTTGCCAGTGCGAATGTCCTCCCAGAATTTGTCCTCGTCCAGCGGATATTTCAATTTTCCCTCTTTCTTTCTCTCTTCACGCAATTGCAGAACCTAATACACTCAGGATTTATGAAAGAATCATCACGTCAAAAGATAAGGATTACTACACTCAACTTTTTACTCACAAAATTAAAAGGTACGACAAACAAACTTCTCGGCCCAATTTTTTAGTCGGAATATCATTTATTTTTCTAGTCAGCAGGTTGAAAAACCAATTGTGCATCAAAAAGGCTAGGTTTTACCGTGCTCAAGGAGTACGTTTAAACAACTAAACTCTAAACTTTGAATAATAATTTTGTGTTATAAGCCCTCAGAAGGTGAATTCAAAATTTCCTAAATTGGAGATCAATCATCGACAGCAGAATTAAAGCTGCTGTGCCACTCTCATGCTGTGTGCCACTCTTAAAGCTGCTGTGCCACTCTCTGACTGTGAGCATTGAGCCATCCGAAGTAGGTTTTACCGTGCTGAACAAGTACGTTAAGACAACTAAACTCTAAACTTTGAATAATAATTTTGTGTTATAGGCCCTCAGAAGGTGAATTCAAAATTTCCTAAATTGGAGATCAATCATCGACAGCAGAATTAAAGCTGCTGTGCCACTCTCATGCTGTGTGCCACTCTTAAAGCTGCTGTGCCACTCTCTGACTGTGAGCATTGAGCCATCCGAAGTAGGTTTTACCGTGCTGAACAAGTACGTTAAGACAACTAAACTCTAAACTTTGAGTATTAATTTTGTGTTATAAGCCCTCAGAAGTTTGGTTAAGTTTGGAGGTAAAATTTGGTTCTGATTTGCTAAAAATCTCAATTTAGAACAAATTTGACGTCCTAAGTTTTCTTTTATTGTTTTAAAAAGTTTCTGAGAGCTGAGTGAATTCAATTTGTTATAAAAATTATGATCTGGGAGGACTTAAGAGTTTCTAGGAAAAATACGGATTGCTTTTGGATTCGGATTTTCTTTGAATTTCGAAAACTCCAACTCTTTTATGCACATTGGCCGATTTGATTTTCTAAACTCAACACGTTTCTGAAAGATTTTTTAGAAATTCTCAACAATATTAACAAAAACACGTTTCGACTGACTCAAATTAGTTTGCCTCAAAAAGTGATAGAATATTTGAAACCAGTACAGTTTTTCTTCGAGAATTTTCCGACTTTTGTACAAACCATCTTTGACAAAATGTGATTATTTTTTGTAAACTTGTGAAAACTGCTGACATGACCGATTTGGGATATCTAATGTGCAATCTATTTTGCCCTTATAAATAGCGGGCAGTGAAATAAATCAATCTTTCCCGAATTGAGGCAATCTTTTAGTTCTTCTAATACATTTCCGCAGCACAAAACATCATATTTTTCCCATTTTTTTTTGTTTTTGCTCACCAAAATTTTTTATCGAACATCTAACTTAAAAAAAGATAGTAGAAACATTCAAGATTTCGCTTTGATACGAGCAGACTTGTTTCAGTTTGTGAAAGCAAAAGAGATAGATAACTAAAAATAAGTTGATAATACATCGGAGACAAGAAGAGATGTGGCTCACGAGCAAAATGGTTGTCCCCGATTTTCTCTCACAACAAATTGATTCTAAAATTTAAAGGACCGATTTGCTCCTGCTGCTGGTTTCGACTTACTTAACAGTTATCGCCCAGTGGGCTGGTAGTGGGAGCGCTTTGCACGCGACGGCGCTCATGCGCCGATGACCACCAGGCGTTTTCATGAACTGCCCGTGTTTTGATATTTCAAGCTTGCAACAAGTGTCAGCTTGCTGTTGACTGTGAGCATTGAGCCATCCCAAGTAGGTTTTACCGCGCTGTACAAGTACGTTAAAACAATTAAACTCTAAACTTTGAATATTAATTTTGTGTTATAAGCCCTCAGAAGGTGAATTCAAAATTTCCTAAAATGGGAGATCAATCTTCGACAGCAGAATTAAAGCTGCTGTGCCTTTCTCATGCTTTAGGAGTCACCAATTGTCATCTTCGGGCTGACGACAGTCGACACAGATGCCACGAGAGGCCAAGATACACACTCAAGAAATAATCCCTGAAAGTACGATCTTGACTTTTTGAAGCTTTTTTTACTCTTATCGATAATGTAGCACATAGTAGCACATTTCGTTGTACCGCAAAGTCTACGTCTTTGAGTTACTTATATAAGATGCTGGCAAGTGTTAGTACAAGTTTTGAGCGACTTAAAAGAATGCTTTATGACTTGCGTTCAAAATTTTTTAAAAAAATTTCATTGGCACATTTTGTTTTCTTAAAATCTAAGTCAATTGGAATAACAACAGTGAGCTATGTGTCTGTAAATTTAATTTCTGAAAATTGAAGAGACTCAAAAACGGCTCATGGCCCGGGTCTGCTTATGTTTTTTTTGCCGCAACAATCGTGAAAACATGCAAAAACCCTAGCCTAAGGAGTTATATGGTTTTGATTAGGAGACTCTTTTGGTTAAATTTGGAGGTAGCATTTGGTTCTGATTTGTTAAAAATTTCAATTAGAACGAATTTGACGTCCTACGTCTTCTTTTATTGTTTTAAAAAGTTTCTGAGAGCTGAGTGAATTCAATTTGGTTTAAAAATTATGATCTGGGAGGACCTAAGAGTTTCTAGGAAAAAATATGGATTGCTTTTGGATTCAGATTTTCTTTAAATTTCGAAAACTCCAACTCTTTTATGCACACTGGCCGAACTGATTTTCCAAACTCCAAACAAGTTTCTGAAAGATCTTTTTACAAATTCTAAACAATATTAGGAAAACACGTTTCGACTGATTCAAATTAGTTTGCTTCAAATCAGCGAGGAGCGATTTTTGAGCTGGGCTAATTCGCCGCCTGCGCTAAGTGTTAATGGAAATAGAGAATGGAATAAATATCTCAGTTTGTAATTATCTCGTTTTTTTTTGCACGCGCTCCCCTCGTAAAATAACTATATTTTAGTACCAAAGTGCTTTTTGAAAAGTTTTTGGGTCGCCAAATTGGAGGTTTTTAAATTGTTCTCAAATAGGTGACTCTTTGGGTCAGCAGGGGTCAAAACTTTTGGGTCAGATTGCGAGGAGCTCCAATTTTTGAAAAAGAGCGATGTCAACCCGACCAACAGAAGTTTCATTTAGTTTTTTTTTTATATGGACGGATACTTCATCTGTCTTATGTTGCAAGGAACTTTACAGAATAGATGAAAGTGCATGAACAGTACATATGTTTCTGTGGCATTGCATTTGTTCAATTTATTCATATGGCTCTAAGATCGATGAAACTGTTTATCGTTCATACTCAATACGCCAGAACACAAAAACGCTTCGCAATACGCTTCGCAAACACTAGCCAGAACACAGAAAAAACAGCTCTATAAAGTGCAAAAAATTGACTATGTCTCTGATTTGATCTGATTTGACCGCCTAGAGACATTGACTCTCACACACTAACCACGCAGCCATGGACGCTTAAAAATTACAATCACTTGACACAAATAAAGCAGAGAACAGATGCTTTGAAATTTTAAATGCTCGGATCGTGATTGTAGCAAGAGTGCCACCAATTAAGTTAACACTTTAAGAGAACACTTTTATTTGCGAGTTAGGTTAGAAAAGAAAAAGGTTCGTACTAATGCACTACGCTGCTGGCTAGTGTAAAAAAATGATAGAATATTTGCAACCAGTGCAGTTTTTTCTTCGAGAATTTTCCGACTTTTGTACAAGCCATCTTTGACAAAATTTCATCAATCATGTGAAAATCAATAATGTTCTGAGCTCATATATTTTTTAAAAATATACCACATGTGATCATTTTTTGTAAATTTGTGAAAACTGCTGACATGGCCGATTTGGGTTATCTAATGTGCAATCTATTTTGCCCTTATAAATAGCGTGCAGTGAAACAAATCAATCTTTCCCGAATTGAGGCAACCTTTTAGGTCTTCTGATACGTTTCCGCAGCACAAAACATCATATTTTTCCCATTTTTTTTTGTTTTTGCTCACCAAAATTTTTTATCGAACATCTAACTTAAAAAAAGATAGTAGAAACATTCAAGATTTCGCTTTGATACGAGCAGACTTGTTTCGGTTTGTGAAAGCAAAAGAGATAGATAACTAAAATTAAGTTGATAATACATCGGGACAAGAAGAGATGTGGCTCACGAGCAAAATGGTCGTCCCCGATTTTCTCTCACAACAAATTGATTCTAAAATTTAAAGGACCGATTTCCTCCTGCTGCTGGTTTCGACTTACTTAACAGTTATCGCCCAGTGGGCTGGTAGTGGGAGCGCTTTGCACGCGACGGCGATCATGCGCCGATGACCGCCAGGCGTTTTCATGAACTGCCCGTGTTTTGATATTTCAAGCTCGCAACACGTGTCAGCTTGTTGTTGACTGTGAGCATTGAGCCATCCTAAGTAATCGAGTTACGAAAGTTGCTGGATTCTCAAAGTAGGACCAAATTTGTCAGTTTTTTCCCAGGACGAAATCTGCAGTGGGACGAAATCTGTTCCCTTGGGGCAAAATATGTCCAAAATTGGAATTATGGAATATCGATTGGCTGATATGAAATTATTTAACATGAGTGGATCTCAATTTTTTTCAAAGGAGTGGATTTCAAAAAATTTTGCAAAATATCGACTTTTAAAAAAGGTATTTCTTTAGCCGGTGAGGAGGTCGCATCTCTTGAAGTCACCCCTGGATATGTGTTAAGAGTGTTTTAGTTAAAGGAGGTTTGGTAATGGATATCACATAATGGGTTGTGCAATGATCTGTTCTGATCACACAGCCTACCTGGTATATTCTAGACTTGGGCACTGTGTGCAGGTAGTCCTTGTCGTGACTCACGTCCACTCTCGTCTTCTTCGGCACCCGACTCCTCCGCTCCTTCTGCTATACAATCAATACTATGTATTATATAATTAGGTGACACTCAATTATGTAACAGGTAATTGTATTTTGCAGCGAGATCAAGAGCGAATCAAGTAATGAACACGAGCACAATAATTGACATCATTCAATTAATAAATTATTGATTGAACTTATAGCTTGTTTTTTTTTGTGTGTGTGTGTGTGTGCGTGTGTGTGTGTGTGTGTGTGATAGCTTTCACGGGAAACAGAAAAGTACCGAATGTTGGATAATTGTCAATAAACTCAAGGAAATAGAGCAACTTGGGATCAAAGTATTTTTTTTAAGCTAGAAACCATTCACGTTTTTTTGCGAAAATTGAAGGACGGATTTGTCTTTCTTTTAGCAAATGACTTTGAAAACTTTGAAGTTCAATTCAAATTCAGTTGCTAAGAAAAGGCGTTAAAACTTTTTAACCTAACGACCTTAATAAGTGTCTTGACTTTCATTTATTGACCTTTTACAATTGAAAATTTAGAGCAGCAGCTTTGTAAAATGTCAGAAAAAATAAACAAGTTTCTGAAACTAACTGTATTTTGAACTGGTTATCCAGACGAAATCAGGTAACGATAAGCTGATGATTCCCAATTTATTGCACTGAAGGCAGGCCGCGTATCAACCGACAGGTGAACAAATTAAATCTAAGTGTGGATCAAAAAATCAAATGTGATATAATTTTATACGCCAGCAGTCTTTGATGATCATATCGTATATTATTTATGGGCTGTTCGTGTAAAATATAGCGATGCCTTTAACAATGTAGAATTTATGACTCTTTTTTATGTAATGTTTTCCCAACTAACGAGCAAAACACAAAAGCAGGTGTTCTCAGCAGATCTTTTTTTTTCTACCAATGATTAATAGCATCAAAACTACTCCAAGGATGTCATATAGGAGGCTTTTGCATTTCCGAGCAAATTTCAAGATAATTCATATTTCAGTGAAAAAGAAATAGTGTTCTTGAATTTTTTTTCAAGCAATCAGTTTTTATGACGCTAAGTAAGTTTATTCCATTTTGGACGTTCACAGGTTTTCACAAATGACTTAATATAAGGAATTAATACTCAATTACTTCAATGCTTATTTTGTGACCTGTTCCAGAATATAATTTTACTATATTGTTTAGAGCTACAACATCCTTTTTATAATCAATCATAATGATTTAGATACTATTTTTTTCGAAGAACGCAAAATTAATCCATTATAATTTATTGCAAAGATCTTTTACACCATTATAATTAATTTAAACTATTATACCATCAAAATTTCATTATTCGTTTAATGTATCAACGTTTCATTTCCTGATATCTTCTATAATTCTCAATTGAAAACATAAATACCAAAAACATTTATTCGCTGAGACTTTGCAATTTTTTTTCTTTGATTTTTCAGTTTCTCCAAAATCCCTATTTGAATATTTGCGAAGTCAAAATAAGGGCAAAATAAATACATAATAAAACAAAATTTACGGTGAACTTGATAATTTGTTGTTCCCTTTATTTGGGCGTGTTCAGTGTTTTTTTTTGTTTTCCCCGCAAAATCAGGTACTACCATCTGAGGGTAGCCAGTGATCCAACATATTAAAAGCCTATCAGTCGTGATTCAAACGACATTTAAAATTTCCAAAAAAACTGTCCCAGTTTCGAAAAAAAACAGGTTCAAATTTTTGATTTTTCGTCTCATTATGAGCGAGAAAAGCGAGCGACAGGGCTTATTTCGTTTTTAGAAAAGTTGCTACGAGTAATCATCAGAATGGTAAAACATGATACATTGAAAACCCTTTCAGCCTTGATTTGAACAATTCGAACGACATCAAAAAATCTTCATAGTGTCGAGAAAAACTGGTTTGTTTTTTTTTTGAGTTGTAGTTTAAAATTCGAACAATTATAGCAAGCAAGCAGAATTTTTATGGAAGGATAGGTCATAGTTGTTTAGTTTTACTTCTGTTTTTTACTTTTAGAAGTTTTTTGGGGCGATCTTAGTTTTTTTTTGTTTTCTTGTCATTTTTGAGAAAATTAATGTCCCATTTGCCTGTTTTCTTTTTGTGATTGTCGGACATGTCTAAGTTCTAGATTTAGCACAGATCTTTTTTTCACATCATGCCTATGAAGCGACACCATATAAATGGTTATAAATACTAGTTTAGAAATGGTTCCAACAGATCAAAAATGCTGTTTTTGGGCAATTTTTGAAAATTTTTAGCCAAAAATAGCGATTTTTTGTCGAGCGCTCCCCTACAAAATTGAAATTGGTATATATTGCCGCCTTGAAAAAATTTAGACTGGTCCACCGAAAATGGACATCATTAAATAACGCCAAAGGGGGATCCTTTTGTTGTGAGGGGATCGAATTCCTGAGCCCCTTCCCCCAAAAAATCCGCTCCTGCTCTCAGTCAAGTTTTTGACTCATCTTCAATTTTGTCTGATTGACTCATCTTCGCTATGTTATTCATTTCCGAGTACAAGTCCTTTAAGACTCTGTTATTTATCACCCCCTTCCTATTGCAAAAGAGGATCTTGTTAATTCCCCCCATAATAATAGGGGGGGATAGTTAACAAGGTACAAAATTCGTATAAGCTTGATCGTTCAATTCTTTCTTTATAGGGGGGAGCGGGAGTTGGAGGGAGAGAGAGAGAGAGAGAGAGAGAGAGAGAGAGAGAGAGCGAGTCTTTATAGGGGGGAGCGGGTGTTGGAGAGAGAGAGAGAGAGAGAGAGAGAGAGATTCGTTTTAAGGTACCATAGGGGGGAATAGTTTACAAACAAGATACGCAAAAGATGATAAATTTGTACGGGATTATCCTCGCAAGGTCGTCAGTTTTAAACATGTGACGCGATGTTATAGCTTTTAGAAGTTTTTTGGGGCAATCTTAGTTTTTTTTGTTTTTCTTTCAATTTGAGAAAATTAATGTCCCATGTGCTTGTTTTGTTTTTGTGATTGTCAGACATGTCTAAATTCTATGTTTAGCACAGATCTTTTTTTCACACTGTTATCCGTACGGATATTATAGCAAAACACCCTTCATGAATGATATAGATTTAGGTGCTAGAACTACCAGTTGGTAAAGATTACATAATATAAACTGAACTGACATTGATTAACATATAGAAGTCTGATGATTAAATAAGTACATTAAACAACAATCGCTGAATCGAAAAGCCTTGGGACCACCGATGCTGTTCAGTACCTTCAACAGAAAACCAAAACTACCACAAAGCCCAAAACAACTAAACAAGTACCCGAAAACGCAGCGGCAACAACAAACAAAACCATCAGGAAAAATGAGCCCTAAGAAAAAACCAAAAATTGACCTGACAAAAATCCAATTTGAATGCGACACTTCCCTTTCACTATCGTCAGATACCGACCAGGACGAAAAAACACCGTCACCAGATAAACCAGCCACAAAATGAATAGACATAAAAGCCACACCCGAACAAAAATCTCCCGAGATACGACGATCATCAAGACAGAGAAAGGGCCCACTGGCCACAAAACTGGGAAACGCTATTCCCATAGCTCAAATCTCAAATGCCTCCGAACCTTGTTTGGTAGCACACGTCGAACTCGCTACAGCCGACGTCAGTTCCCCAGATCAGCCAGCTGAAAACCAACAAGTCGACGCCAATCCGATACCCGACACCGTCCCGTCACAAATTTCCTCCGAGGAACTCATGTGCACAGAAATCCACATGGAAGCGGCAAACCCAGAAAACACAAGATACGAAAGCACAAGCGACAGCACAACGAGAATAAAATTAAGCTCCCGGTACATTCTAGACAAACCTCAAACAACAGAGGAATCCTTCAGCAAGAAATTCGAGAGGCAATGAACATACTTCATTCCATTTCATCGGTTCGGGAATTTTCGATGACATTCCAACGAGAGAAAGAAGACATTACGGAGCAACATGAACAGGTTGGCGCACATACTACGGTACAAGCGGAGAAGAATGCATAAAATGAAAAAGCCACAAAAGCCATTGGAAAAGAAAAGAAAGGACAAGTGAGATATTCACTTAATCAAAAAGAGGGAAATGTTATCCGTACGGATATTATAGCAAAACATCCAAATGAATGATAAAGATTTAGGTGCTAGAACTACCAGTTGGTAATGATTACATATTATAAACTTAACTGACATTGATTAACATATAGAAGTCTGATGATTAAATACCTATTTATACGTAATGACATATGTAGTAGTTCCTATGAGGCACTGTCCCTCAAAAGATTCCAGGTCAGTGTCAGCCAGACTTAAACATAGCAATTTGAATTTAAGTTATCTTTTCTTGTTTTATTCTTATCTTAACAAAAATCTCCACAAATTCATAACGACATAGATTATAGCTCACCTAACGAAGGTATAACACGCACCATGCCCATGAAACGGCACTATTATAGGAAAAAAAAGAAAAACTTATGTATCTTATTAAGAATATGGTCGGAACATTCTGTGCTGCTTGCACAGCAACCGGTTCTCTTTGCTTCAATTTGCCATTGTTTTCATTATTACTCATCGTCTATCCAGGCATCTGGATCTGGACCTGTACCCGGGTCTAGGTCCAGTTTGGATCTTCTCTTTGGACCGTCTCTCAGGAAGAATATTTTGAGTTAACTGGTCGCGACTGGAGCGAAGAAGAGTAATTTGAATAACTCTCAGTTTAATTTGACAAAACTCGAATTCTACTTAAAACGGGGGAGGTCAAATTAGGTTTTTTGGAAGAAACACTTCACTATTTACCATTTTTACTGCTTTGTCCGATCACTTTGTTTTCTAATTTATACCATATCGCAGAGCGAAATTGGCTATTTTTTACCGGGGAACTTTTCGGGAAACTAAAGCTTTCTAATATTTTTGCAATCAGTGTTTGTTGATTGGAGCATGAGGTTCGACAAATCTTGTTTCCCAAAAGACTAAAAATTTCAAATGAAGCAAAACCATTAAATTAATTGATTTTGGTGGGCAAAAAAATTTTTTTTACT